AAATTTAATTAAAATTAATATAAAATTATATAATAAATAATTTAATTATTAAATTTTGAATTTTAATATTTTTATAATTATTAATTCAATTTTTATAAAATTTAGAATATAGTTAGATTTTTCTATAATTATATTATTTTATAGTTATCTTTTTTTATAATTATCTTTTTTGAATTTTTTATTACTAATTAATTATAATTAAAAAAATCTCTTTATAAATAAAATACAATTATATCTTTCTAAGTATACTTTCTCTAAGTATATATACTATATAATTTCTCTTTAAATATATAATATATTCTAATTTTAACTTGTAAAGCTTTATGTATTTTGATCTTTATAAATGTATACTTTCTCTAAATACATATTTTTTATTTTTTTTACTATAATTACAAGAAAGATATACTTAAAGAGATGTAACTATATATAAAAATATAAATAAATTAATAATTTTAAAATAATTATAATTAAATATAATTAAAAAAATTAATAATCTTATATTATATCTTTGAAAAAATAATTATACTTAATTCAATAATATATAAATAGTTAATAATAATATAAATAATATATAAAAATAAATAAAATTATAAAGAAATAATAATAATAATTAATTAAAAACAAGAGCAATTTAAATTAATAATTAATAATATATAGTAATTATCTATATAATATATAATTAATTTAATTAAATTAATTATTTATATATTTAGAATAAATTAATCTTTAAATAAAGTAATATAAAACTAAAATATAATATTAAGAATGCAAAATAAAAATCTAAATTAAAAGAAAATAATCTAATTAAAATTATTATATTATATAGTAATTATCATAAATATTCAGAATTTATAATATAATATATAAATTAATAAAAATTATCAAAATTACCTAATAATTTAAATACATCTTCTTTATAATTTGTAAAACAAGTTTAATTTAATATTTTATAGAATTATTATTAATTATTATTATATTTTTCTCAGTAAAATTTATTGCAAAAAATATTTCAGATCTAATAAAGTTTGAGCTTTTATTATTAAAAAAATATTAAGTAATCCTATTATTTTATTATAGATAAGATTATTTATTATATTATAAAGAAGATATTTATAAATTTTAATATAATTCTGATATTTTTTATTAAATAATTAATAAAGATATAAAGTTAGCTAGATTTATGATTATTTTAGTTTTTTATAATTTGATGATATTTATAATAAGATATTATATTAATATGTCTTAAGTAACTTTATTCTTTATATTAAAAAACATATATTTGAAAAATTGCACAAAATTCTATTCATTCTTTATCATATAATTTATATACAAATTCTGAATATTTATAATGATTAATGTACTTATTATTACTTAATCTTAATTATTAGTACTTGAAAGAATGATTTGTATATTATATATTAAATAATATATTATATAATATATAAATAAGTAAAACAAGAAATTCATATAATATTTAATATAATATTTATATAACATGAATCAATAATATTTTATTAAAAATAAAATATTAATTTCCTAAATATTATTTATCATTATTAAATTATCACTGTGATATCTATCCCACTTCTTCTATAATTCATTTCAAAAAATATTATATATACTGTAATCTTATATAAAAATTAATAAAGAGAAGAATACTTCTTTGGAAATATTAGATGAGAATGTGATAAATTGCAAAAATTTATTAGTAATTATCAAATATTGTAAATAATTATAATGAAGCAGATACATTTAGAATTAAATTTATTGATTAGTTATTTTTATTAATATTAGCATGTAGAATCTTCACATACACTTGTTTTTAATCTAGTACAAGAAAAGAGTGCAAGCTGTAATTGACGTAAATGTACCAATAAAATGATATTTTAAGTCTTGTATTATGAATTGTGATAATTTCCCAATTCCAAACTTGAATCTCCGTTACCTAGACATTCTGATCACTAGGCATTGAGATATATTAGAACTTCGCCAATTTATGTGAAAATTTTGGCATACGGTGATTTTTAATGATGATATCTCAACACCTAATGATCAGAACCACGCGAAATACCGGAAATAAGAACCGCCTAAGAATAAGCACCACTCCCAAATTTTAGATCATAAGCATCACCTAGGATTAGTACCCAATAAAGCAATAATGGAAATTTTTCTTGAACCAGGGATGATGTGGTTTTGGGGTGAGAAGTGAGCAAATCTTCGTTTGCTTTGATTTGTGTAATGATTTCAACCCAATTTTACATCACCGTATAATTTAAATTTTGTTATTAAAGTTGTTGATATCGGTATCTCTGATTTTCTGTTATAAATTCGTTTGTGATATTTGAAACATCCAGAGCATTTAAAGTTACTACAAACATGAGTATTCGATTCCATCTTTTGAGGATCACTTTATAAAAGCAAATTACATACAAATTATACAGATGCTCAATAAAAAACATCACGATCTTCTATGTTGATTTGATGCTTATTTCCGGTAGATAGTGTAGATAATCAAGAAACCGTCTAGAAATGAGCACCACCCTTATCGTTATTGTGGAGCCTGTCAAGGAAATTGACAGGGCGTAGAATCGATTTTCCGAACATGTGATGAGCAAAAATCATCTCGGAAAACTTAAATTCCTCTATACATGTATTAGGGTTCGGGTTTGGATTAGGATTTATAGCATAAAAGATAGTTAATTAGACTAGATTTTGTTTTGATCCTAATTGATGATCGGATTATCACGTGTTCAGAAAATCGATCCTACGCTCTGGCGTTGTAGTCAGTCAATTGGTGCTTATTTCCGTGAGAATACGATAGTTATCAAGATCTTACATATTTTTTGGAAAAAATTAGTAACTGCGGGGTGCTAGAGATGATCGTTTGCATATGTCATATTGTTTCTTATTTTAGAAATTCACACGCGATCTTTATCGAGATAAGACTGCGCACTTGAAAAAAATTCTTTACAAATACGAGTAACTTTCGTCTAGCATTTTTATTTTTTAATTACAAGTTGAATTACAAACAAACTCAAATTGTTCATTTTTTTGATTTATATTACGAACTTTGACAAAATATTAAAAAAACTCCTATTAAAGCACGTCAGCGGCAAGTCCCTCAACCAATAAAGTTTTATGCCTCTGTAAAAAACCAGTGGTTAAATTTCAGTCAAGAAGGAAAGGAAAAGATCGTTGGTATTACAGGTGCTATAATGCAGGAGCCGGAACAACTTGTAATTTTTACAAGTGGGAGGACGAACTGGAAACGGATCTTACGAAATCGCCTGCTGTTTATGCCGGCTCTGCTAACACTTCTGGACCGATAAAAAATGGTCCATTGGCTCCTCCATCATATTCGCCTCGTCAAGAACGACAACTTCAGCATACTCGAAGAGAAGATGAAGAATTCTGGACAACCGCAATCAACAATCTTTTATGCAGAATTCTTCGCCAGCACATATTTACGAGAATGATTCAACCACAATTAATGAATTGATTCCTCCTTCACCTTCACCAGCCCCGGATCCGATTAAGGCGTTAAAAGAGAGGTTAGCGCTTTTGAGCAAAGTGCGAAATTCAAAGCAAATTTACTTGCAGAAACAAAGGGGCGATTGATGATGAGGACTCCTTTCTCTTCTCCAATTCCAGCAACCTCCTCTTCAAACTTCTCCTCTAATTGTTCCGTTTCCTCCAACTTCCTCTTCAAGTTTTTATTTCCTTCTCCGTCGTCTCCAATCGACTTTTTAACATCTCATTTCATTTCTACCGATGCCACCACCTCTATCCTCAAGGTTGATAATCCAGATGAAGAACCATCTTCATCTGGAAGAACGACCACTGGAGATGGAGAACCATCCACAATATCAAATTTTGAAACACCAACTGTTGCTGGATCCATGGTAATAACATCCACAACAATTACCACGGTAACAGCAACAATAAATACCACATTTACCAGATTGGTAAATACATACATTAAGACGACAACAAAAATTGCTGGAATGACTTGGGAATACAGATAAAAACTATTCCAGCTATTGAAACTAGGACTTTACAGTGTAGTAAAAAGGGAATATTGACCTTCAAGCAGGAAGACCAAAAATTAAAGGTCCCCATAAAGTTCATTAACGAGCAAAACATCTTTGATTATACTGTACCTGGTTCTGAAAGTGAGATTGATACTGCCGATTCTTCAGCGGAAGAAATCTCTGAAAGCGAATACAAGATTGAGGAACATTTAGAAGATCATAGTTTTTTATGTTGGCTCATTGGTTACTCGAAGAATAAACTGTCGACGATAAATGATGAAGAAATAGTCGATTATGGACGCGTTCCTCGATGCCTGACGAAAAGGTCATCTGAAAGAAATGAAGGGAGCTATCGACAAGGAACTATAATATATTACCACGAAAATTTGATCAAGCTCCGTCATACCCTTTGTCTTGGGCCAAACCCACTGATAATATTTGACGTCCGCAACAATGAATGAAAGAATATCATAAATATGACAAAGATTTCACTCCATGGACAAATCCAAGGTTCGACTTTGGGGATAATTTTATAGATCCTACGATTGATGTAGGAAAAGCTGATATTGCCTTCCTTCAGGACAATGAATATACAGTAAGATGCGAGGTATGTTATCAACAAGCGGAACTCAGGGAAGTCTTTGATTTTCAAGCAGGATAACATAAAGCATTGATATTGTGAAGAATATTTAGCCAAGGGGAAACTTTATCTATCAATTTGTGCATAATGCGGATACTGAGCTCCTTCATGCGAAATGTACGGAATTAAGGGACGTTGCTCGACGAAGTATTTCTGCACCTACTTTGAACAGTGTACGTATATATTCAATCATGAGAGATGGTGAAAGAATAAAAAGGAACGATTAAGAAGCTTCGCGATACTGGAAACTTAATAACATTGTACAATGAATGCAACGAAATAGGAAAAGTAATTTTAGAAGATACATCACCGAATCCGATGTGAGAAAGAGATAGATCGAATCGACTACTCGTATTCGGAGGACAGAATTCGATAGCTGAGGTAGTTTTTTATCTGTATTTCCAAGTCATTCCAGCATATGTATTTACCAATCTGGTAAATGTTGTGTTTATTGTTGCTGTTACCGTGGTAATTGTGGATGTTATTGTCACGGATCCAACAACAGTTGGTGTTTCAAAGAACAAAGAAGAAAAGGAGAGAATAGCTAATTCGAAAGGGAAAAAGTTTCACCTACAAAGAAAGACGCAAAATTACTAACGAAGATAATAAAGAGAAGATACCTGAGTGAGCTCCTCTGACTGACGTGAAATTTTATATATGATACTCCGACAAAACAATCGTTAGGATTGGGCCACACCAGAATATAATGATCGATTTATTTATTGCCTTTGAAGTTCCTGTAGGAACCATGTGTTAGTTATCTCTAGTGAAAAAATAGCTCGAGGTAAAAGGAGGAACGACCGATACTGGATACACTGGCAATATCAGAATATTTTAGCATAACAATTCGGAAAGAACCTACTATGTTGAACCTAATGAGCGTATCGCGATATTCCTCCAGTTAGCCGATGTTTCCAGATTACAGCTGGTAAGATCAAAGATGAGCTCAGCAGATTCTGAATCAGATATACAGCAAGAACAAGCTGAAGATAATCTTAAGGAAAATTTTTATGTCGTTAAATTTTAATATCAATATAGATGTGTAATTTGTAATCTGCAAATACACTTTGATGTTCAAATTTAATAATAAAATAAAATTAAATTACCTTTATTTGATGTAAATTAAATAACCTTTCAAAAAAGCTGATCTTAGATTACACACCATATACATGTACATGTACTGTCACAGGTGTGTGGATTTGGGGGAATTTGTGCACCGTTACAGTGGGTGGGAGAGGGCGATTAGACTAATTTTACCTGTTGGTCTAAATCCTGTGCTGATATCGTTCAATTTGGGAGTTTCCAAAGGTGAGTGAGTAATTATGGAGAAGGGTAAAGGGGATTTCGTGTATTAACTATTAACTAATCTATTCTTTTATTCCTGCACTTTTTCTAGATAAAAGTCTTAAACTCGAATCAATCAAATCATTCAATCAATGATGCATTTGCCTTTTCTGGACTAAGAACCTAACCAATTCATTATCTTTTCTGGTAGAAAGAACCTAACCAACACGTTAGAATTATAATTCTATGGGATGATTTTTACAAGCATTTTTCTTGGAGAAAAGGTAGTGTACGCAATTGTGTTTCTCTCTTTTTTTTAAAAATGTATTATTCTAATTCTATCTAATTTCTTTATTACATTAATAGATTGGGCAGTGGTAAAGGATTACTAAAGAAGAGTGGTGTGATCCATTATACTGGAGAACTTGAATGATTATGCTGAAGAATACTAGAAAAATAGGGGAAAAGAAAGTCGTCGCAATTATCAATAACGTGTACTGAAGAATGCGAAAAATTTAGAGGAAAATTATCATGATCTTTAGTAATGACAATGTGTACTAATAGGGGCACAATGCGATCTCGTGTGCTGAAGAACATTATGATTTAAGGGGATGGGCGCAGTTATGAACATAATGCTGGATAATGCTGAAAATTAGAAGGTCAGAAAGTATATGATATTTGTAGAATATTTGATAGTTGGAATAATTCTCTTCATAATCTCTGGAATTATTAATTTTAATAGAATAATTGTAATATTTGCCTCTTCTATGAGATTGAGCTTCATTAAAATCATTGACTAAGTTTCTTTATCTCATCTAGTCAGAGCTGGAATATACTATCAGATATCAGGAACAATTCTTATCTATCTTATTTGGGCCAACATATCAGAATAGTCAGAAAGTATATTTTCCAATTTGTCAGTGATAATTGATTACAACTATATTATTTTGTTATTTAATTTTCCTTTTAAATATGTGGAGTTATTGATTATATCATAGTGACAAGTTATGGAATAGTTCATCAAGAAGATAGTATTATTATAGCTGAAAAGTATTTATTTTATCAGGTTAGGTAAGATTTACAATAACTAATTATCTTATACAAGTATAAACTTGAGATATTCTTGAATTCAAGATATTATTACTTTAGAATTAATAGCATCAGTCTTAATTACTTTGTTAAAGATTATTACTTCTAGTCTCAATTTAATTAGAATTATATTATTTATTAATGAATTAAGATTGATATTCTTGTTTAACAAGAATTAATTAATCTTTTATAAGATTAATAATATTATTAAGACTACATTTTGCAAGTCAAGCAAGTAACAAGATAAAAACTATGATTTTTTTATTATTTCAGATATTACTTATTATATTATTTTTCTTTAAAGTAGTAAAAAATAGAAATATTTAAATACTATTCAATTTATATAATTATTAATTAAGAGAATTTTATTTTTCATAATATTATTTGAGTTATATATTATTAAAGAATTTTTTATTATTTAATTATATTAATTTTATAATTTATAAATATTATTATTATATATTTCATGAATATAATATCACTTATTACTTTATTAAGTTTTAAATTTATCTTCTTATAGTATATATTATATTATATTATAAATTAATATATTTTTATCAATATTAAATATTATATTTATCAAAATTTTTAATTATATTATTCTTTTATTTTTTATTAGATTTTTTATATATTATTTCAAATAATTTGAATTTTATTAGATAAGTAATATATAATAGGAAAAATTTGTTTTTTTATAGTTTTTTCTATTTATAATGAGAATATTATATTATAGTTTAATAAATAATCTTGCTTCATATTTATATATTAGAAAAAATAGATTATATTATATATTAATATTTCTTAATATTCTATAAATAAATAAAATAATAAAGATATATATATCTTATTTAATTATAATCTTTCTATTATATATTATAAAATATCAAGTATTTCATACAGAAGTTCAGAATATTAGCAAAGTATTAAAATAGATTTCATATAGAAAATTAATTCAAGAGTAGATAAGAATTTATTATAAAACTTAATTTTTATTATAATAATTATTATTATTAAAATTACAGAATAAAAATAATTTTTTTAAATAAATAAATTAAAGTTATATAAAAAATAAATAATTATTAATATATATTACTTAAATTAATAGTAACTCTAGAAGATACTTATAAATAGATAAATATAATAAATAAAATTATAAATAAGAAAAAGAAAAAGTTAGTATGCTTAACTATTTTTGTAGAATAAGATATAATAAAATTTTATGAAAACTATTCTCTAAAGTAAAAATAACTCAAAGAATTATGTGATTTTTCTTGATAAAATTAGATAATTATAATAAATTATGTATAATATAATATAATTTATATATTAATAATTTATTATATATTTTTTCTCTTGAGAATTAATATTCTTATTAATATTTAGATTTAAAAAATTTAATGATTTTTATAGTATTGTAAATATTTTTTAAAAGTTTTCAAGTAGTATTATAATATAAATAATCTAGCAATTTAATTAAATATTAAGATTTATTATGAATAATCTTTTTATCTAAGATTAATTCAAATTTATACTTTTCTTTTTCTTCAGTTTCAGATAAAAATATTATCTTAATTAATAATAACTTGTGATAGCTAATCAGAGAATTATAATTAATTATGATAACCAATTAGAGAATTATAATCAAGTTGTAATATTATCTTTAGTTTCAGATATAATAATTAATTATAATAGTATTAAATAAATGAATTTTTTATTATTATTAGAATTATATAGTTTCAATAATAATATATAAAAGATAGAATATATTTTTATATATAATAATAGATTTAATTTATATATAATAGATAAATTATTTCAAGAATAGAAAAGAAATAATATATTTAGATATAAGCTTTCTACTAAGATATTATTTATTTATAAGATCAATTATATTGCAGATTGATATTAAGACTTGATTTTTAATTTTAAATTCTTAATAATAATAATATTAATTAATCTATTTAGTTTAAAATTCTGAGCTTTTATTGATAAATCTTTTATATTTTTAATTGTATTATTTTAATATTAAATAAATTTATTAGTGATAATAACTTTATTATTTAAAGAAGTATAAAAATATAATTAAATATTAAATATAATTTAATTTAAAAGATATATATCTAAATGAAGCTTATATAGAATTATTATATATGAATTTAATAAAAACAGAATATTTATTCTAGTAATTCTGATTATATATAAAATATATATATAGTATTATTATCATAGTAATATAAAATTCTTTAATTCCTTGATTTTTTCTTAGTTATGCAAAATTACATTTTATTATAATTTTTATTATTTTATAAATATCACTATTTTACATTATATATTATTATATTTATTATTATATTTCTATTTTTAAAACATTATATTTTATTTTATATTTGGGATCTATATTTTATTATTATTTATAATATGATATTCATGTATATAGTAGAATAGTATAATGAAAGATTATTTTTTA